CTCCGAATGAGAAAACTGACGATGTACAAAGTACTGCAACTCGTGGAATTATGTAGACACGGCGCATCCATGCAGAAAAACCAAAAGTAAATCCAAACACAAAAGAGAAATAGCAAGTACGAGTACACATGTTAAGGTACGTACTAAGCTGCTACTGTATCTATACTGCGTCACGGGTAACCGTTATGTGTATGGAGATGACTGCGTTAAAAGCGAATTTTAATAGTTTATAAGCTTGCACAGAGTGCTGTGCTATACTCAGTCAGGAAATTACATTACCGTCACGGCAACCTCTCGCGACAAGGCAATCCCGCCGATGGTAATCCGAGTGCGGCGTGTCTCACATTCTGCCAGATGTTTCTGCACTGCGCACACCGCTCCTTCCGGGCACCTGTCTGCCGCGACGGCACATCTGACAGCCAAGAGAAATTCTTCGTTCTACAAAAGGGAAGACACAAAGCCATTCCTAAGGATTAGGCCCAAACACGGTAGAAGAGGGAATGTTATCGGTGTGGGATACTGATGACGCAGAAGATTAGTGGCGTTGAGGTTGTTAATGCGATGCGTGTGTGTAAAGTTCCGTTGACAGCCACGTCATAAATCGTAATGCGACGGTTAAGAACCGTGTAGATACTGCTACAGCAATTATTCTGATTGTTATCATTTAGTGTTAGATTAGTGTAGGCAAGTAGTGTTAGATTTTAACAGTTTACATCTTCAATTTAAATTGCTAAGGGCCGTTAATTCCGTTGCATCTGTATGAATGGCTCGTGGTGGCATACGGTATGCCGCATACCGTGTCCAGTAGGGTACTCGGAAATTTGCTTACAGAAAGTCGTACTATCGTAGAATAATGGCTTCTTGTGATGTCGCTTCGCTAAGCCGGTTAAAAACATGTGACCAATTAACAAACCCTATTTTAAATCTGTATTATTTTTAACAACAAAAGATAATGTGTGCTAATGAGTATTTAAACAAGAAAGATAAATACAGTACCAATTAGAAGATGTATGCTTGATTTATATGGACATAGTTACTGTAGATACATAATTCAACCTAATTTCATTTCAATAAACAAATAAATTTAAAAATGTCCAAACTTGAAATTTGCCCGTGTCTAATTAAATTTACATAAGTGTTTGCATGAGTAATTCCGGTAACCAGTAAGAAGCTGTAGAAAGTGGCAATACAACGCAACTTTATAAGCACAGCGTCTGCGCATACCTGCTCGGTTAAATGGATAATGACCACCATCTGCGCCACGAGCATTCCCAGTATAATACCAATACTGATGCACACCACAGCATCGGGATAATTTCCTACAGACACGATCTCACAGATGTTCTCGGCTAAGCGCATAAAATAAAACGTATCCTCCAGAAATATCATGGCGCCGATCCACATGAACTCTCTATCCAACGCGCGAATCAGAGCGCATAAATCAGAATGACAGTTTAGACATGCGCGAAATTCGGCTAACGACAAACTTTTGCCGGTATTCATCCTTCGGGTTAGGATTCGGCATCCCAAACCCAGTTCCAACAGAACCGCGATCAGAAAACAATGCACACACTGAATTCCGGTTAAACTGATCGTGGTTAATATAAACCGAACAGTGAAGAATTCGCGCGAATATTTTACTACAAAATCCGAACGCGCGAACCACGACGAAGAAGACGGAATTTCCCGTACGAACGACTCACTTCCGTTGCGTCGTTGGGGAACTATCACATAGATGGGGTTTGCCAGTAAAATGCATCCCAGTGCAAAAAGCGTGATGATGTTAACGTAATTAAAATATTTACCGAACGATTGGCAGAATGTTCGCAACATTGGGTGAAGACGCTTTTTCGACAACAGCATCTGCACGGCACAGAATAAGCGCGTAAACGGCACGACAAATGTCGGGTACGACAGGAGCATGGCCGACGTAGTGGACGGTGATACCGGGTTGTCGTACTGCTCCGTGACGTTGGCTAAAAACTGCAGGATAACGTAGACCGCTATAAGGGTTACGAAGGAAATTCTAAAGATTTTTGATTTGGCTGGTATCGGATAATAAAAGTAACCGGTTAAACTCATGGAGCAAAACCAGAAAAGGTTGTACAGCCACAAGAGTTTTGTGTGCCGCGGTGCGGAATGCATAATTGTACGGCACAGTTTCCCCTGCAAAGACTGCTACGCACAAAGAGCAGGTTGCCCCATTAATCCATTCTTCCGTAATGCTTATATGGCTACACCCAGTGTATAGAAGATGCTGTTCATCAAACTGCTTTGCATACATAAGCATTTCACGCACAACGATTTTTTGAATTAAGTCAAAGAATATCGCGCACAATCGATAATCGACGCTGTGTACACACACGGCAAGTGCGCACGTTCCAGACTTGTCAGGAACGGAATGCACATGATTGACAGTATGTTTGCTTTGGGCAAAAATATTTCCGTTAAAAGGTTGAAAAGGTCACGCTGTGTTTTTCAAAGGATAGTCGTGCAGGTGAGAAATCATCACCAACAACGGTGCACCGAATAACCGTGAAAACACCGTATGCATGCGAAGGTGGTGCCAGACACGCCACACATGCACATAACAGTTTTTATTCTAGTGGGTAGACAGTACGGAGTTCTCGCCATTGTGCCTGGCTGTTACTAAATAGTTCCAATATTTAGAATGCTTAAAGTGGCACTGAAGAAAGTAACCCGGAATTACGCTTGTCCAATAAGTAAGTGGACACTGGAAATAGCAAAACATTGTGTATATTTTTGCGCATATACCGTTTGCATTTCCATTATGTATTTCTTATGTTGTACATTGGCGTTTTGCGTATAGAAGTGTACAGATTAGCTGAAGATTTGCGACTTCCCAACCGGATGTTGCGCGCACAAACGGTTTTCACGCCAATTCTGAATGTACAATATATGAATGTACTCTATACAAATTATTTGGCTTATAAATGCCGCAACGCAATGCACAAAGGTGCTGCGAAAGTGAATGTTTCCTTGCGGGTACACGGGGTTGATACCACTTATCGGTCACCGCAGCTCAGGATTTGTGGAAGGTCAACGCTAGCCCAGCTGAACTACCTGACCTTGGCTTTCGCAACTTGCAGAAAACATGGGATTTACCTTTGTGCAACGTTTCCCCTGTCCACTCTCCTCGAAGTGTTCCAAGACGACGAAATCAATAAAGCGCGCCTTCTTGCCCAGGCAAGTCCGGAAGCCGGTGTCTGGCTTAACGCGATAATACTTACCCCGTTCTAAAAAATAGTACTAAATACAGCCGATTTTTCTCTATAGAATGGTATGTTTCACGTATTCCCAAGAATACCTTCTCCGAAAATCGCTGCTTGTTAGACTCGGTGCTGCGATTCGTGATCCACATAAGTGTATGAAATGTCACAAGCCTGTTGATGGCCAAGCTATCATGCCCTTTCTTGGCCGGCAGGCACCCGCGGCACGGTGCTCTCAACAGCATTGTATGCGGCGCCGCGCCTTCGTCTCGGCTGGTATCCCAGCTAAACTGGAACCACGCGGCACCTCTCACACGAGCGAACGACGTCCAGACGGCAACCTTCGCATGGAACCTTCGCATGGAAAAGGGGAATGTGCTTGGCATGGGATGTTACATGCGTAGATACTGTTTGCTGCTTCCCATCTCAAATCCACTTCGACAAATGCGCGGGAGCGGCCGCTATCCAGGCAGAAGAAAAGAAATCCAGATTTTACTCGAATTTGAACGATCGATACATCTTCGCCCCAATAGCTTTCGACACAATGGGGGCGTGGGGACCATCGGCTATCGCCCTTATCAAGGAGCTAGGAAAACGTCTACGCGACCACTCTGGAGAAAAGCGCTCGCATGAATTTCTCCGACAGCGTCTCTCGTTGGAGATACAGCGAGGCAATGCGGCCTCAATTATGGGCACAAATGGCGAAGCGGAAAAGCTAAATGGAATCTGGATGTTATAAAGTCTAGCTTTTTCGCTTGCTTGTAATGGTTTTGTTTTATTGATACATTTGTGTCTCGGTTTTCAAGTAAAGAGCAACCGCATCGGGGTTCATATTTGTTTTGTTGCAGTGTAAATCATGCACCTGTTGTGGGTCTTGTGCTATATATTCAACAAACATGTCAACAAGGCGCGTGAAGTTCATAACGAGGTAAGACACCTTCTGCCAAGCGTCGATTTTTATCCCGACCTAATTCCTAGCAAGGTACCAACAGGAAGCGCGCCTTACAAAGCCACCAGAGCAAACAGCTTCTGTTCGTTGCTATGGACCACAGTCCCGGTTCTCACGAAATCCAGCATTCGCGCTTGTGCTATCATTTTTGGTCAGTCAGAAATGAAACCGCATCCGTCATTGTACAGAGTAGTATTCAGCCAAACCGTTCATTTGTGATTTTCATTGAGATTGTCTAAAAATTTTTGTTTTTTACTGACCCTCCCTGACTTCGTCGCAGGAGAAGGTAATGGTCAGCGGGCGTTTCTGGCAGCCGGTGGTTTTTGACGGCTCGCTGGCGCGCAACGTGCAAGTGGGGAGATCCGGGGAAGCCGCCGTACACGCTTGCAGGACATCCTTCGTCACGTTGATCTTGGTACGAGAATATTTACTACGCACATGTACGGTATCCACCGTTTACAGTATCTACATTAGCAATTACTGCATCTACCGTTTTTCGTTTTCGTATGTACGGTAACGAATAGCAGACCAGGTTGTCTGTGGTCTTCTAAAGTACAGTTCTCGGCCGATTAAACTTTATCATGCAAACTATACTGCAACAAAACACAGACTGCTTAGTGTACAATAACATTGGCTCTATCCCTTTCAAGAAACACGCCATGAATCACGTGCAAGGAATGTAATTTTGCTGACCAAATTGCCTGTTTTGTATTCGGTACCCGTTTAGTGAGGCAAAACGGATGTCATGAGCGAGCAACAGAACACTTTTTTGGTGAGCGTATCAGAAGGTGTGCGAATGCGATAATGCACATTTTGCCGCGTTGTGATCTTTATTCCGACATTTATTTTTACCGAGATACCAACAGGAAAACGCAACACACACGCACACACCAGGACTGGTTTGCTGTTCATATGGACTGTTGTCGAGCTTCTCGTTAAATCACGCAGTCGCACTCATACGTTCGTTTCTAATGCGTCACAAAAGCAACCACCGAAAAAAGCAAGTTAATATTGCCAGAATTTAATGTCCTGCTTGATCGTCCAGTGGACTGCGCTTATTTGTCGAACATATTGTTGACAATCATTCCGCACACAATCGGTTCTGAAAGCAAAGACAAGTATTAATCCGTTATTATCCAGCCAAACCGTTTGTATCATTGTCGTCAAGAGTACATTAAACTTTTCATTCATTTCCTACTAACCGCTTTGGACTTCGTTGCAGGAGAAGGTGATGGTCAGGGGGCGTTTCTGGCAGCCGGTGGTTTTGGATGGATCGTTGGCGCGCACGGTGCACGTGGAGAGATCCGGGGAAGCCGCCGTGCACGCCTGCAGGACATCCTTCGTCACGTCGATTTTGGGGCAACCGCGCTGCACATACTCCGCCTTCTCCAGGCGGACGCGCCGGGGGTTGGCGGAGGGAAGGGGCGTGGTCGGGCAGGGCTTAGCGGTGTTATTAGACTTCGCGGCCGGCTTCGGTTTTTGGACACTGCGCGCTGGGCGGCGCACGGAACCCTTGGATGAAGCGGAGCCGGTGTCCTTGGTGCAGACGATCGTGTACGATTGGCCGTGCCGAATCGTCTGGGTGGTCGTGTTGCGACCGCCCACATTCTGTGACAGGGAGACCGTCGGCAACTCCATGGTCAGTGGCATGGCCTCCGGTGCGGCGGCTGCCTATAGTAAATCCCATAGATTTGCAATCTTCCACATTACTAGTAGAAAAGTGCTAATTGAAAAATAAAATTGAAGAATAAAATCAACAAACAGTCTGCAATAGGAACACATCAAAATGCGTATAAATCGCCAGCACCACTGTTTCTAGCAGAAAAACGTGCATTTGCGCAGACTGCGGTAAAACGAAGCATCTACTTTTTAGTCCACCGAGTCGGCACTGACATGCGCTAAAATCTAAATGGCAAAACAATTTTTAGAAAGTATACTTACGGCCAACACGGGAATGAGAGCAATGGCGAAGATTCCTGCCAGCATTTTGGTACCGCAATGAACTGTGTCCAGCAAGGCAAGCAACTGCAACTACCCAGACACAAAATTCCCCGCCCTACACAAACAAATGCTTTTTTCCGTATGGAGCCGGTAAATTTGCAGTACAACAATATCGACTACTCGTTATGGCCTGGGTCTCAAAAATGCCTCAAGACATTTCTGGTAGTTGCCGTTTTTGCAGCAGTAATGTTGTATAACTCTCTTTTCTTCGATAACGTTTTGGCTTCTCCTTCAGGCGCTTATCGTTCTCTTACATAACGTATGAGCATGCAGGTTTGGAGCTTCTTCTAGGCGCTCGCTGAAGCAGGTTTTGTTAAAAAAAACTGAGTTTTGTTAAAATCCACAGAAATTTACTTCCTCCTTGATCGCTCGCTTGCTACCGTGAAACGAAAGCCGCGCGCACAAACCGTTTTTATATCAGTGTACGTACGTACGAGAAAGCGTAGCAGAGATACGGTAAAAAGTGTAACAGTGCGTCACGTAATAGAAAGCATTGGCAAGCAATGGCTCTCGTATGGGTTGCGGTAAATAATGCTCCGATTTAACGACAGCACACAGGTTTGCGTTTTCCTTTAATGATCCTTATGAATCTGACACGGACGAATAACAGCACACAAATAAACGCCGAATTCTCTAACCAAAACAACCCGATTACAGTTCATTCTTCTTTGCCATTGGGTTGGCCATCCAAAAGGACACACGGCGCTCTACTTATCAAACATATTGTTGACGACCATTCCACATGCGATTTGTGCTGCAAAATAAACGAAACAGCGGTATAATATTTTAGCGTAGTAATCATATAAGAGCGTTCAACCGCGCAGTTAAATGTTCCCTGTTTCTCTCGTTACCCGACGGAAGTGCGGCATTGCGACTTTGTCACGCTGAATTTGAGCACCATGTTGAACATGTTCCGTCGCAACGCCCCGTTTCCACCAAAAGACGGCAGAAAATACAGGAAATATTTAGCGGCGCGATCAACGCATTCCCTGTATACAAATAACTTACGTGTTTCCATCGCGGCACAGGAAAATTCAACAGTCAACGGCCGCTGCTGACACCCGGCCTTCTTCGAGGGATCATTGGCGCGGATGACACACGTCATCATGTCTTCGGAGATGCAGGCGTTCCAGATGGCGCTGGTGACGTCCTCCGCCGCGCAGCCTTTCTTCGCGTACGTCGCATTGTCCAGGCGTACTCTCTTGGTGGGATCCGCTTCCACTTTGGGGGGATTGCACCCCCCTTGGGCGGATTGCGAAGGCGGTGAACCGGAAGACGGTTTTTTGGACGGCGACGCCGGTTTCGGCGCACTGCGCGCTAAGCGTCGGGGGCTTTTGCCTCCCGCGGTGGTTTTCGGGGGAGCGGCTACTTTGGGACACTGGATGGTGTAGGACTGTCCGTGGGGAATCACCATGGTGGTCACGTTATGCTCGCCCACCATCCGGGAAGTGGAGGCCAACTTTTGAGCCGGTGATGGTGCGGCTAGCTGCAAGTAATTAAGTGCTTGGCATCCCAGACAAATGTACCATAACTTTCGGTACTTGTACATTATAATAAAATCGGCTCTAAACAGTACAACAATGTTTTAGTCGAGAAATTCGACCGGTCTCCATTTGTCTTCTAATATTTAAATACCTCAGCGTATATTTAAACTTACCCCGTATCCAACGACAAGAGCAACGGTCAAAACCGTCGCAATCATTGCTGTTGCAGTCATCGCAAGCAGTTCTTACAAGGTGAAGATGGGCAAATCTGTCGTCTTAGCCCGGTTAGGAAATGCTAGGCCGTGGAGCTTCCGTGTAAAAGAAAACTGTGTAGCTACAACGACTTATGCACACGCTACAAGATGTACCGCCGTGTGCAACAAATACAGATGGAAAATGTTTTAAGCCCAGCTGTTTGTCGATGTGCTCCCAGCTATATTATTATATTTGTAGTGGATCCACTAAAATCGGACATGTAGTTCCGGTTGTTAGACAATTTAATGCGCAGGTTAATGTACTTGCCGAAAGACACCGATCAACACCTCCATAGGTTACTTCTTCTTGCTTCGAGCGTCAGAGTATTTACGTGCCAAAAATAGCGCTTTATTCCAGTTATCTCTTGAATTAACACTAATTAATATACCGTAAATGATATAAATATATATATTGTACAGGCATGCCACACTTCCCGCATTAATATTGTATTGTTTTCGTAGTGTTGCGCTGCGGTTAGACATCTTCACAATTTAACCGGCAAGTTGAGCCAACCGTTATTTAAATTTAAACACTTTATCAGAAAGCAGTTTTAAACCGTTATGCATTTCCATGCTGCCCAGATTAAATAAAAACGGATTAACCGCGGATAGCGAATATCCCAACCAATAAGCCACCAGATAAAACTCGATATCCTCATATCCGCTGATTAATTCCATAATCTGGTAGATAAACCACGGGCCCCACTGCAACACTAGCGCGGCTAACAGTGCCGACAACAACCCGAACGCCTGGCGCTGCTTCTTCTTCCGCACCACATCCCGGATATCCGGCGCCGTTTCCGCCGTGCGGATGCGCAACGCCGCGCGGTGTTTACTCCACAGTTTCCACGAAGTCTTCACGTAGCAGCACACCGTGACGGCCGACGGCAGCCACTGTGTGAAGATCGCCACGTATAGCGAACTAGCGTACGGTTCGTCGATACTCCAATAGCATTCTTTTTCGTCGGTGGAAGTACGATGTATTCGATTGTAAACCAAACTCGGCACGATAACTAAGTTAGACCAAATCCAGCTGAAGCAGATTAAAATGATGCATTTTTTCTCGGTGTGACGCTGCCGGTAGGACACCGGCCAGGAGATGGCCCATAATCGGTCCAGGGCGATTATAGTGATGGTCAGCAGAGTTTGTGAGGTACCCAAGAAATCGAAGTACACCCAGATGGTGCATTGCCAACGGGATAACGGCCAGTGGCGAAGAACGGTTAGCAGAGCAAAGTGGGTCATGGACACGGAGCCAGTGAGGCAGTCGGAGATGGCCAGGTTGAAGAGGTAGTAGTTGAAGACGGTGCGCACCGACGGGATGATTAGGAATGTCGCGATGATGGTCAGATTGGTGATCACCGTGGAGATTATTAAGCTGACCAGGGGAAGCAGAACCCACGCGGAAACATAATAGGGCGTGGATATATTAGTTGGTAAAGGTGTATTGGTGGAATTATTAATATTATGCATCTGCATGATGGAAACCGTAATCTGTAGAATGCGAGACACTCTTCACTATACGCTTCAGAGATGCATATAATATATTGTTATACAGAGTTTTAGTGACAGAGCGCTCAGCAGTGGGATTATTTTGCTAACGATTCCGACGTTCCTGCATACGTAACCGGAGTCCGACGATTAAAGTAATCTCTGGCTGTTTCGGAGATGCTCGATATCATAATATGCGCATGCCGTGTGACCATATCGTATCTTGTCAGCGTCCTGGCATCCGATTGCTGTCGACCTGATTCAGCCGGAAGTGCAGCACGAGAAGCATGTGCCTTATCTAATTATAAGGCACTGCTGTCGGTTAAACGGTTAATGACCGCGAATCTGTATATACACAGTGTTGTTCTCGCAGTTATGCATAGGTACATTATTTATTGAAATGGGCAGCGAAGTGCGCTGCCGTCTGGCAAATGGGATAAACTGGGATTAGGTATGCTCTACTTATGTTCACTGTCGTATGTACCGCGCCGCTGTATGATTTGGGTTGAAACGTAGTTGTTCTTGGTATATTCGTTATCAGGGGAAGCGTGCCGGTATTGTACATGCTCCCAAGTTTATGCACTTGTACAAAAACTTTCGCTTTCGCGCCTTTCCGGCCACTTATTTGTATTATTTTATGACATTATATGAATCTGTAGCCAAATGGTATGTATACATCGGTGTGAAAACTGTTTGTGCGCACAACATCCGGTTGGAGAGTAAAGGCTGAGTAAAAAGCCAAAAGCTTAAAGGCATGGAGATATACAAAAAGTTTTCAGTACCAACAGATCTTCTTTGAATTTTGCGGGCAAAGCACGTTTAGCGAGAAGATCGTTTTTACGCCAAGTTTCCATCATGGTTTTGAAATTTCAAAACGAATTTCAAATATTTTCTCAAGTTATTTGAAATCTGAAAAAAATGGTGGAAACTTACTTGCGAAAGCTATCTTCATAGTTATGTGTGTGTAGTTTTCATGCAAAATCTGAATAGTATCGGTTGATAATGAGACTTTTGGTACTTTCTAACTGCGTGCGTTCTGCATGAGTAACTTTGGAATTCTGTTTCAACCATAACTCCCGAATCAGATGATGCACGCACAAGCGGATTTCACGCAAATGTATGCATTATGCAATCACTTGGCTATAATTATAATGTTAGAAACCGAATAACCGATGCAAAAAAGAACACAATAATTGCTTGCTGTCTTTTGTATCATTGTAGGTAAATCGGCAGTTACAAGTTACAACCAATTTTAAATATTATCCAGGTGGAAAATTGCCACCCTTGTGGAAGTACATATTCCTTTGGAAGCGGTAGCTAGACACCTCGTCCCACCTTCTCTCACATAATCAGTTCAACTCAGTCGTGACATATCACTGTAATGTCGCAATGCGTGCACATGCCGTTTTACTACGCAGAGTAATTTGAACTCAGGGAGGACTGCGAGTTTATTCTAACTACGATTTTTACTAAACGGATGGAAAAATGATCATCTGAAAAAAAATAAACGGCAAACCGCATTAAGAGACCGTTATTTCAACTTGCAAATTTTATGAAACAACAGCTTTATACCGTTATGCATCTCAAGGCTGCCCAGAATAAATAAAAACGGATTGACAGCGGATAGAGAATACTGCAACCAGTAAGACGCCTCATAGAATTCGTTACTTTCATAGTTGCTGCTTAAATCCAGAATCCGGTAGATGAACCACGGACTCCACTGCAGCACCAGCGCGGCCAACAGCGCCGACAACCACCCGAACGCCTGCCGCTGCTTCTTCTTCCGCACCACATCCCGGATATCCGGCGCCGTTTCCGCCGTGCGGATGCGCAACGCCGCGCGGTGTTTACTCCACAGTTTCCACGAAGTCTTCACGTAGCAGCACACCGTGACGGCCGACGGCAGCCACTGTGTGAAGATCGCCACGTATAGCGAACTAGCGTACGGTTCGTCGATACTCCAATAGCATTCTTTTTCGTCGGTGGAAGTACGATGTATTCGATTGTAAACCAAACTCGGCACGATAACTAAGTTAGACCAAATCCAGCTGAAGCAGATTAAAATGATGCATTTTTTCTCGGTGTGACGCTGCCGGTAGGACACCGGCCAGGAGATGGCCCATAATCGGTCCAGGGCGATTATAGTGATGGTCAGCAGAGTTTGTGAGGTACCCAAGAAATCGAAGTACACCCAGATGGTGCATTGCCAACGGGATAACGGCCAGTGGCGAAGAACGGTTAGCAGAGCAAAGTGGGTCATGGACACGGAGCCAGTGAGGCAGTCGGAGATGGCCAGGTTGAAGAGGTAGTAGTTGAAGACGGTGCGCACCGACGGGATGATTAGGAATGTCGCGATGATGGTCAGATTGGTGATCACCGTGGAGATTATTAAGCTGACCAGGGGAAGCAGAACCCACGCGGAAACATAATAGGGCGTGGATATATTAGTTGGTAAAGGTGTATTGGTGGAATTATTAATATTATGCATCTGCATGATGGAAACCGTAATCTGTAGAATGCGAGACACTCTTCACTATACGCTTCAGAGATGCATATAATATATTGTTATACAGAGTTTTAGTGACAGAGCGCTCAGCAGTGGGATTATTTTGCTAACGATTCCGACGTTCCTGCATACGTAACCGGAGTCCGACGATTAAAGTAATCTCTGGCTGTTTCGGAGATGCTCGATATCATAATATGCGCATGCCGTGTGACCATATCGTATCTTGTCAGCGTCCTGGCATCCGATTGCTGTCGACCTGATTCAGCCGGAAGTGCAGCACGAGAAGCATGTGCCTTATCTAATTATAAGGCACTGCTGTCGGTTAAACGGTTAATGACCGCGAATCTGTATATACACAGTGTTGTTCTCGCAGTTATGCATAGGTACATTATTTATTGAAATGGGCAGCGAAGTGCGCTGCCGTCTGGCAAATGGGATAAACTGGGATTAGGTATGCTCTACTTATGTTCACTGTCGTATGTACCGCGCCGCTGTATGATTTGGGTTGAAACGTAGTTGTTCTTGGTATATTCGTTATCAGGGAAGCGTGCCGGTATTGTACATGCTCCCAAGTTTATGCACTTGTACAAAACTTTCGCTTTCGCGCCTTTCCGGCCACTTATTTGTATTATTTTATGACATTATATGAATCTGTAGCCAAATGGTATGTATACATCGGTGTGAAAACTGTTTGTGCGCACAACATCCGGTTGGAGAGTAAAGGCTGAGTAAAAAGCCAAAAGCTTAAAGGCATGGAGATATACAAAAAGTTTTCAGTACCAACAGATCTTCTTTGAATTTTGCGGGCAAAGCACGTTTAGCGAGAAGATCGTTTTTACGCCAAGTTTCCATCATGGTTTTGAAATTTCAAAACGAATTTCAAATATTTTCTCAAGTTATTTGAAATCTGAAAAAAATGGTGGAAACTTACTTGCGAAAGCTATCTTCATAGTTATGTGTGTGTAGTTTTCATGCAAAATCTGAATAGTATCGGTTGATAATGAGACTTTTGGTACTTTCTAACTGCGTGCGTTCTGCATGAGTAACTTTGGAATTCTGTTTCAACCATAACTCCCGAATCAGATGATGCACGCACAAGCGGATTTCACGCAAATGTATGCATTATGCAATCACTTGGCTATAATTATAATGTTAGAAACCGAATAACCGATGCAAAAAAGAACACAATAATTGCTTGCTGTCTTTTGTATCATTGTAGGTAAATCGGCAGTTACAAGTTACAACCAATTTTAAATATTATCCAGGTGGAAAATTGCCACCCTTGTGGAAGTACATATTCCTTTGGAAGCGGTAGCTAGACACCTCGTCCCACCTTCTCTCACATAATCAGTTCAACTCAGTCGTGACATATCACTGTAATGTCGCAATGCGTGCACATGCCGTTTTACTACGCAGAGTAATTTGAACTCAGGGAGGACTGCGAGTTTATTCTAACTACGATTTTTACTAAACGGATGGAAAATGATCATCTGAAAAAAATAAACGGCAAACCGCATTAAGAGACCGTTATTTCAACTTGCAAATTTTATGAAACAACAGCTTTATACCGTTATGCATCTCAAGGCTGCCCAGAATAAATAAAAACGGATTGACAGCGGATAGAGAATACTGCAACCAGTAAGACGCCTCATAGAATTCGTTACTTTCATAGTTGCTGCTTAAATCCAGAATCCGGTAGATGAACCACGGACTCCACTGCAGCACCAGCGCGGCCAACAGCGCCGACAACCACCCGAACGCCTGCCGCTGCTTCTTCTTCCGCACCACATCCCGGATATCCGGTGCCGCTTCCGCCGTGCGGATGCGCAGCGCAGTGCGGTGTTTTCTCCACAGTTTCCATGATGTCCTCACGTAACAGCAGCCCGTGACGGCCGTCGGCAGCCACTGTGTTATGATCGCCACATACAATGAACTGTATAACAACTGTTATACATCATCCTTCCTTAAACCCTGGCATGCGATTCCTGTCGGTGTAATTGCAAATGCCGGAAGTACAGCGGAGAAACTTGTACCTCGTCTGGTTAATGTTGTTACCAGTTATGTTTAGTGACCCTGACCGTCAATTCGGGAGACACGTTGTGTCATTACAACTTACAAGCAAAGTCTAAGAACTATCCGCATGTTCAGCAAAGCGCGCTCACTGCGAAGTGGACATTCGTACGCGAAACATGTCCTCAGAAGAATAATTAAAAATAACACATTTTTTGCGTGCACGATGTACGCAATGCGTACAAATACAGACCAACTGTGCTGCACTGATAAATCATTTCAGTGATCCTGGTTAGTTATGTATCTTTTATATATTTTTTGATGTGATATATCGTACATCAAATGATCAGTTTATCTCATTAAATAAACGAATTTTCAGCTTGGCGCAATACGCTTGAACAAACCTACCGGTATCTGATGGGTTCAAAGTATATTATACAGTAGTACGCTCTTCTGTGCCACCATGCTCAGGCTAATCCAGAAGTTTTGTGTTATCTGTACTTTATTTGTACACGAATAAATGGGAATAATGAGCGCGTTTATTCCGGTCAATAAAAAATGAATTTAACGTTATTGCGATAAATCAGAAAACACTTGTCGCACTAAAAAAGACCAATGTCACAAAGCCCATTGCGCAATGAATAACTTTCAAGAATGCCAATGTCGACTGAAGAATGCCAATGTAGCAATGTCGCCTGTAGAAATTTCAGCGTAGGTATTGTCGTTAAGCGAATCCGAACAATTAGCGTGATGAAAATCATGTGTTAGAATACTACCGCAGTAATTTAATAAGAAGTGGTCTCCTTTAATGAAAAATATGGTCTATCTTCTCGACATCCTTCTGTATTGTGCCTCAACCATTCCTTCAAGATACCGAATGTAATTCAAGCAAATGTAATGGAGATACCGGTAGTTAGAAGTAGCGAACTCGTTCGCAACTACAGTTACGTCGGCAAGGACCCGTACGATCGCATTTCCCATCGTAATCATAAGGGTCATCAGGGAAGTCCTCTGGTTCGCCCGAGGGCAACAGCTTTCTGAAAAACTTTGGACGATTTGCAGCAATGTTTTCCAAACAAGCAATCAGCTCTTCATACGATCTCATTACGCAGCTGGTCACGAGGTAGGGATCAGGACTTGACCAATCGCTGTGGTCACCGGCGGAGAACGAACAATTCTTAATTACCACGACCTTTCCCATGCGGAAAAGGGCTCTGACTTCAGCGAATACGTTGTACAGGTCGATCAATTCGTAATCATCACATACGACTAGGAATTCACAATTGTTCAAAATGAGGGTTCCCACCTGAATGGCTTCAAACTTTGGGCTGCGGAGGAATACCGGTAAGATCTCGAACGCCAGTGCCGCCAACCGCAGTGATTTTGTAAAGCGATTGATCTTGTTTGCGATTTTGCGCGAGAGGTATTTTACGCTTCCCGCTCCAGCATACCAGATATTGCCACATGCCGACTGAAGTAGAAAGCCGCTATCATGACAGTCAGGATCTGTGTGACGATCACTGTTCAAGTAGACGTGATTGAGGACGGATTCGTGACATAAAACATCATCCCATCTGTTGCACACCCTGGAAAAGATTTCATTCACAGAAGTCAGTTTACAAGCTTTTCCCGTCATTTAGAACGGCGTAACACAGCCATAATATAATTCAGTTTAATGATCAAAATCTGTTACACAAGATACGAAAAGCTGATCCATGGTGCCACGGACGATTTCTATATTTACCGGTATGGGCGTTTTCATGTAAATGTCGATCAACAACTTGTGCACTCATATTAACTCCGGTATACGGTCTCAGGAATGCGCTAAGCATTTTTATGTATACTGTATATTATTATTCTTCATAATATTTCTGGCAACGAGTATTTTGTCAAATAAAGCAAGTTCTATAGTTAGTTCTATAAGAAAAGTTTATACTGCGACTTTTGCCACTATAACAGCTGAGTGCAGAAGAATTATGAAATTGCCATCACTTACCGCCGCAAGCGGGATTGAGTCAGTGAATCCACATGGCCGAATACTTGCACAAGGATATCGAGGCATAAGTCGTTTATCATCACTGTATCTGTAATAAAGGGATATTTTGCGGGTGATTTCTAACGATAACAGTGAATACAGTCATCATACAGTATATTGCCAATTAACTTGCTCGCATATTTTAGAACCGAAAAGTTGTATTTCGCCACATTATACGTGCATATACTCGTACGAGGTAAAGGTGCACGTTTGTTTTTTATCTGTACAGATCTACCAGCGCGCCGCTTTGATAAAGCCAGAGTATGGTAATATGATAATTATTGTCAGAGTTCCTTAAAACAAGGCTCAGTGCCAGCGATGCCTTTGAATGGACTTTCTTACCGCTGTCCATCGGACTGCAATCCACCGCTCCAGCATCTCTTGCCGACCAACACGCATTTTCTTCGTCCATTCGGATAATATTGTATTCTGATCGTATGGCACTGAAGTCTTGGTAGCGCCGATTATCTTCCATAGACTCCACTGTTAGACTATCTCCAGATGAAAGACGACTGATTCTTGCGAATGAATGTTTGTTTAGCCGATTTGAGCCGGTATTATCGATGCTGATACCCAACAAAACTATGTCAGTGTCATCCTGATAGTTAACGGTCATACAACTGACAACATGATTGCGAAGCTGTGGGTTAACTATCGGTGTCAACCGTGACATCATGAGTGGGCCAAAGTGGTTTTTCTCTGTGGGATTTATGCGATAAAGGCCAAACAGGTTCTTCTCTGGGGGATTGATGCGGTAAAAGGACGTGGAAGTAACGGGACGCGCGGTGAAAATATCCTCTATGGACACGCTTTACCAGCAATTGTATCGGAATACCCGCATAGCCGGCACAACCTCCCAATGCGTTCGGCCGTCACGTTCAATTTCCACATCGACATAAGACTCATACGTATCCAAAAATTCAAAAAAACTGACTTTTCGCACGCTGCCATTTAAAGGGTTCGTTTTTATTCCGCCGAACAGCGACAAACAGACATACCGGATGCGGTACAGACTGAGAAGAGTTGCGAGAGAACCGGTGGCAACGGGGGGTGCGGATGACGGGTGGAAGAAAGACTGTGTCCACGGGTCGCCAACTGGGCAGAACGCTGGGGAATGTCGAAATTAATCAGATGGCCAGCTTCCCCAACATCCTGCACTTGTCCCCACAGCCAGTCATCGTTGGTGTCCTTGATGATCACGCTG